TAAAACTTTTGTTTTGTTGAAGACACCACTAGAAGAATGGAAAGTCAGCTACCGAATAGGAGAAAATATTTTCAAAACACATATCAGACAAAAGATCTGTATTCAGTAGATACAAGAATTCTCAAAACTCAATGGTCAGAAGACAAACAACCCAATTTGAGAAATGAGCCTGAAGACCTCAACCCACACTTAACTGAAAAGGATATACGGATGAAAAATTAACACCTGAAAAGATGTTCAACATCATTAGTCATTAGGGAAATGAAAATTTAAAACATGATGAGAAGCCACTACATATATTAGAATAGCAATAATAAGTTAACTAACAAACACAGTATCAAGTGCTGGCAAGGATGAGAAGCAACTGGAAGTCTCATCCATTGGTGGTGGGAATGCAAAATGGTACAGCCACTCTGGAAAATGGTTTCTACAAAATTGGATATACACTTACCCAGCAGTCCCTTTCCTGAGTATGCTAGAGAATTGAAAATGTATGTTCACACACATGCGCGCGCGCACGCACACACACACACACACACACACACACAAACCTATCTAGTTATAGTGGCTCTATTTGTAATACACAAAGTTGAAAACAACCCAGTGTCTCTCAATGGGCGAATGGATAAACAATTTTGTGACACATCCATATCATGGGATACTACTCAGCAGTGAAAAGGAGCAAGCTATTGATACATATAGCAACATGGAAGGATCTCACAGGAATTATCCTGAGTGAAAGAAGTAGTCTCAAAAGATTTCAGATGGTATGATTCAATTTATATGACATTTGGAAAAGAGAAAAAAGATAGCAAGAACAGATCAGTGGTTGCCATGTGTTAAAAGTCATAGAACTATATACCAAAACAGGAAATTTTACTGTAAGCTAATTTCAAAAATAAGAACAGCAATATAAACCCGTTATATATTTGCCACATTTTAATGAAAATTAATCATATTTTCAAAAACAAAAAGTAAAAACAATGGCATTGCTTTACATTTTTGTAAGCTCTTTACTGTCTAGCTTAATAGAGACAGCTGGATTCTCATATCTTCTTCTGCATTTACTCTCTTGCCTTACCGTATGTCATATAGTCTCTGGAAAACCCCACTATACACTTGAAAGAGAATAAGACTGAAAAAAGCAAATAATGTCTTAGTATTATTATGATCTTTGTTTTGATTCTATGGACCACCTGAAGTAGTCTGGGGGATTCCCCAGGGTTCCTGGACTACACTTTGAGAACCACTGACATAATACACTGTCCCAAATTTAAGTAATTATCATAGCATCTTAACTCTTTTTTTTTTTTCCCATACCCACATGTCCTGGGTTTACTTAATGGTTTTGTTCAAATTGACCTATTTTTTAACTTAAATTTATTTAAAGAGGAAACTTTCTAAGTCTCCTATAAATGGAAAACCAGTACCACTTTCCCATAAATGGAAAGTAACCACAAAAATAAATAAGCAATGAGTAATATGTGTGTGTGTGTGTGTGTGTGAAGTTTACCCGTGAACCATCTAAACTCATCTCTGCATGTCACGCTTTGAAAAACACCAATGCAGAGGACACAGGACAATTAAAAATGGTAGCTGGCTCTGACATACCACTTCATTATGTTAGTTCATTTAATCCTCATATTTACCATAAGAGGTAGATGGTATTATCCTTTGTTTCTACATACATACAAAATATTGAAGCACGGGAGGTTAAAGAAGTTTCCCAGTGCTCCATGGTGAATAATTACAATCCTGGGATTTGAACCCAGGCAGAAGACTCCAGAGTCAGGAATGATTACTATGTGGGCAGATAGGAAACCCGGATTCTTGTCTAAGTTCTATTGGAAGTTGGTATGAGGATATGTAGTGACACTGAACCTTATTGTCCTCATCAATAAAATGAAGGAGGTGGAATATATCAGGGTGTGCAGGTTTAAATGTTGTTTGGCTGCCCGGGGTGGGGGTGGGGGCAGGCAGGTAAGGGAACAGGGAGGGATAGCGTCAATGGTCGATTGGAAATCTTGCATCTTATCTAAAGAAAGCGCCCACTTTCAACTGTTTTGGGGGGACGTTGTTTTTGTTTGTTTGTTGGCAGATATCTCTATTTTACTATTTCATTCCATCTCATTTTATGAAAACATGGAAGTCTGGATACCTTGTGCAAAGTTTTCCAATTTTTAGACCATGTCCAAAGACCAGCAATACACAGTCAGGCTAGCTTGTGACTTTATCACTAGATCCTTTCCTTCGACATAGAAGATTTCTATGATTGAAAAAGCTGTTTTTTATACAGTGGTAGACACAAAATCCAAATTACAGACACAGCCATTTAAAACAATGATGAAAGGGGATATGGGCTTCGATAGCATCTCAACACTACATAAATATTGATCAGGAACTGGGTTAATTGAAAAGCCAAGGTACATTAATAGAATAACAAAGTGTATTTCTTTGTGTTCCTTTTGTGTTGTATTAGAGTAAATCAGCAATATTTATCCAGTGCTAACTCTCGGTTTGCAGCGAGCTAATGTAATCATGAGATGAGCTTATTGAAATTCTTTTCTTAGACATAGAGGCTTGACTGAGAACGGTGAGTATTAGGAACTTCAGTCAAAGCTTGCTCAGAATAGTAAATATGAACATGTGATTTATGCCATTGTGTGTACAAAGCAATGTTTCCTGAGACATTTTCTATATATATGTTAGCTGTTTTGTTTTTTGGGTTGGTCTGCTGCTTCCCCCTCCTCCGCTTATCAGATTTCCTTCTAAATCCTGGCATTTGACAGTGTTGCAGGGCCAGTTTCTCTGTGAATCCACAGTAAAACATACTGGTGGTTTCACAATTAATCCAAACTTGGGTTTATGGCTTATGCGTGTTTATGTGAATTCCTGCATTTGTTTTTATATATGTGTGTATGTTCATAAAGTCTGTTTCTGAGAGAGAAAAAAGAAGGGAGAACAAAATCTATAGACTGAATCTTGAAAGATGGGTTTATTCTTCAGTGACATCATAAGGATTGTATTTTCTCTTGGTTAATAAACTGTTTGTTTGGCGGGCGTTGTAAGCCAGCCAGCACTAGTCATGCCATTTCTTGGAAAAGATCTGAAGCAACTGGTAATTGACATGATAATCATTTGATCATAGCGCTATTTGAAAATAACACTCATCTCCAAACTTGTCTCTTCTAAGGAACCATATTTGGTAACATTGTTGCCAAATTCCATCTTTGCTAATGTTGAGACTTCTATACCATGATACTTAATTATTTTCAGTATATTCTAAACTTGATTTCTGGTGTGTCCTGTGCAGAAGCTGTTCCCATATGCTTTGAAACAATACCCAGCCTGAATTTTCATTCTGACATTTAATAATCAGCATGTAATAGCTATAAAATGCGTGACAACTACAGATCTTTTATTTCAAGAAGATGGTGTAGTGAATCTGAGTGAAATCATCCATTGAAATGGTACTGTGTAATAGGCCCCATTGTTTGTAAAGTATTGAATTTTTTTTTCAGGAGCAGAGGATAAAAACAGTTTCCACTTTGGGTCCCATTCAGGGGAAGTTCATATTTAATCATGATAAGAGAAAGGACTCCATTACGAAAGTTTTACTTTTCATTTTTGATAGAGTATTTATTTTGCTGCTGCCTGACAAACTTTGTTCTCAGAAGCAGCTTGGAACTAGATGAGGAAAAGTGAAATTTTAGATCCTACCTTAAAACATTTTTAAAAATGAAATCCAGGATTTCTCATTGTGTGAAGCTTATCTTAATAAACCCTTTTTTGTTTGCTTTGGAGTAACGTGTGCAGTACTGTGTGTGTGTGTGTGTGTGTGTGTGTGTGTGTGTGTGTGTAGAGGTGGCAGAGGAGGAAAGAGTCATGTTTAACAGCAAAATTAGCCAAAATCACTTATGAATTCCTTTTGTTTAATAGCTTAGAGATATCTTCCTGTTGTTGTTTGTCAAAAATATTTTTAAGATTTTGTAAGCCTGGGGGTTTTCACAGCTAAGCTTTTCTTTAGAAATGTGAAGTAAAAGAAATGAAAGAAGTCGGTTCAAGTTGAAATGTCAAATGCTTCAAATAATTTAACTTAAAACCCAGTGAGATGATCTTCTTAAGCCTTTTCCAAAGAATCTTTGGGTAGGAGAGCCCCTCCTTTACTCCATGGATGGATATCTGTTAAATATCTTGCTCGATTAATTCTGAGTCAGAAAAGTTGGTTCTTTCCTGGAAGCAATTAGAAATACTTAAAATTCAAATTTATGATCCATAGGAGAAACTTAAGTTTCAGCTACTTTTCTTTAGATTCAAAGGCTTTCTCCTCACTCACCCTCTCTCCTCTTACCCCATATGTATTAAAAGAAAAAAAATCAGTTCATTTCTCAACTTACAAAGTTTTTAAGAAACATGAGAATGTGTAAGTTTCTTTCAGTGGGAAGCACATAACATTTATGAAGTATTTCTTTTGGGATTACATCACAGTTTTATTTAATTTTTAGGACAAAAGTTAAATTCAATATTTGTGTATAAGCCAAGGGAAAATGTACCATAAACATAGGAATTTGGGGGTGAGTCAGAGTTCCAAGAATCCCAGATTTACTTAGATCATTTATATAGAGGCAGGCTAACCATTAGTCACCTAGTTCTTGCTTTTTACATTTGCAATTAACTGCACCTAAAAATTAGCTTTCACCCAAGTGGTCCGATAGGCAGCATGGGCTTTGGCAACTGGCATTAAAAATGGCTATTAGAATTACTGCTCTAATCATATAACAAATATACCTTATAAATTATTTTTCAACTAGACAGCTAGCAGTGAAAAGCCACTGAAGTGAAGTGAGCTATTAGAGATGTTGTGTCACCAAAAAACATATTGTTTGCTCGCTTAAGGCTAAACCACTCAAATGATATTTCAGATGGGCTTTGTTGAGAATTTATCATTTGCCTCTCAACCACCAATAATATTTTTGTTCTTCCCTGACCACCTCTTGTAGGATGAAGTCATTGCTGTTTCCGAAAAGGTAATCGTGAAGCTTGAAGACCTGGTCAAGTGGGTACATTCCGATTTTTCCAAGTGGAGGTGTGGCCTCCAGGCTGGGTCGGTGAAAACCGAGGCGTTGGGAAGGAATGGACAGAAGGAAGCCCTGCTGAAGTACAGGCAGTCAACCCTCAACAGTGGGCTCAACTTCAAAGACGTTCTCAAGGAAAAGGCCGACCTTGGTAAATAGAATTTGTACTTCCAAATCTAACATGTGGGCGGATACAGTAACCTACTTTTTTTGTTCATAGACTTTTCTGGAAACCTGCCGTATATATAATTTTACATATACATAAGATTCCTTTAACCTCAAAGGGTCCTAGGAACACGTATGGACAGGTAGCCTGGGTGTGTAAGGGATGGATGTTACCTGCCGGATCGCAGGGCCTTCTCTTTGTGGAACCCTGTGCCAGAACCTGGGGAATAGCACACGTGACCTCAGGAAGCTTCCAGTTGGTGTGGAGGCATGAGACTTAATTAGGGCACCTGAAATTGAACTAATGAAGAGTTTAAATATTTGTTCTAAGTAGAAAATATGACATCTGTTAATACTGTGCCAGCATTTCATGTTTTTATGTTGGGTGGAAAGTGAAGTGAGGAAGAGAGGTGAGTTACTTTGTGTGGAGCAGGAGAGCAGTGTCAGTGTGGAGAAGCCACTGGTTAGCAACTCATGGCATAGATTTCCCTGGGCTTTTAGCACTTGGTGATCACCATGAATGTATTTTTTTTTCTTTCCTTCTTTCCCTTATTCCACTGTAAGTTTAAAGGAGACCTTAAGAGTTGTAGTAGTTTTTCTAATCAGTGTTTGGATCCTGACTCTCCTGCTTGTGAACTGTTTTCTGGGCAATTTGTTTAACCTCTTAGCCTCAGTTTCCCCATCTGAAAAATGTGGGAACTTTACAGGGTCACTGAAAAGTAAGATATGAAGGGTTTTGCACAGTGATGGTTGGTGTATAGGAGGGGCTCCATAATTAATTCTATTGCTTTTTCTTGACATTTTCTTCTCCAGTGCCTTTTTGTTTCCTTTTCTTTTTTTCCCCTTCCTTCTGGTTGTATGTTCCTGTGGCATTCAGTGACTTACTCTCCTAACATTGCTCAAGACCAAAGTTGTTGACCTCTGATTTAGACTAGTTATTTCCTCTTTAGGCAAAGAGGAACTTTACTTTTAACATATTAAGGCATCTTTTTCTTTCATTCTGGCACAATGCTGATTTTCATAGCCCTATTTTATGCTTTAATGTGACAACTTCCTGTTTTTTTAACCTAGGATTTAACTATTACGACAAACCTAGACAATTTATTTAATTGGCATAAAAAGACTACATAACACCAGTAACTGTCTTTCATGAGATTTTGATTTGTGATGAGCTGTACTGTGCTTTGGGAATCATATTAATATTTTCTTGCAGTTTGAGTCAATGACTAACAGTTTCCTGTCATCTTTTGGTAGATGTCAGGCGGTAGTATTTTGGACATGGCAGCCTGTCATGTGTACATTTAGAGAAAATTATTTAATCTGGTGGTTTTATTTTAAAGCCAATAAATTGATTTCTTACTTAAATTTCCTGTATATCCTAGCACACTTCCCAATTTTATGAACACAAATGACCAGTCTTCTGACCTTTGATAATGCTGAATAATATATCTGTTGTATTATTTTCCTAATGTATGATCTAAGTTTCATGGCTATTGTCTTATGTTTTCCTTAACATTAAAACATTTCTTTTGTTTGTTCGATTTTTTTTTTTTAGTTATGGAATATACTGTTACTAATAAAAACCTAAACAGGAAACCCACAGGGGACAAAAGGATGTGTAGATGGTTAAGCTTGATGTCGCACATATAAACAAGAGTATTTATAGCGGAGTTGTTTTCTGTTTAAAATTGATAGTTTATTAATGAATATGAAAAGAAACTCAATCTCTTAATCTTAGCAAAAGATTTAGAGGGTTTGATCTTACTGAATTCTAAAAAATGTCCATGATCTATTTGTTAATAACTGATTGCAGAAGAAATTGATTTATCGCGAATATTCAAACTACTCTGTGGTTTTCAACTTACTTGTTCATTAGACTCACCAGGGGAATTTGGAAAATAATACTGAGTGCTACGTCTAGCTTCCCCAAATTCTTCATTCACTGAGGTTGAGACAAGGCCAAGGAATGTGTACTGATAAAAGACTTTCTAGGTGATTCTAAGTTTTTTTTTTGTTTTTTTTTTTTTTTGGTCTCACTTGGGAAACAGCACTACAATTAGCGCTGAGGAAGGGAAAATAATCAACAGGAGATTTGATTGGGAGGCTCTCCTCTGGTGAACAAGAAACACCATGTACTTTTCCTTTTTTGTTTTTTAATGTAAAATACCCCTTTAAGGATAGAATTTGGGGCCTTGAAATTCTACTCAGTTGGTATGAACTGTGGGGAATTTGAGACAAATAGCTTTTGTAATTGGAATGCACACTGTGTTGTAATAATGTGGAAAGAGAAACAAAAACTTTCCTTAATGTAATGAGTTTCCATTATCTGCCTGATCTAAGGTTTACAAGTCTACATTGTTAGGATTTATATTGGGGAGATAGGGGGTGTCATTTGCTGTACGCATTCCTGTCCCAGCAACTTTCTCTTCAACCTCTTCCTTTCTCTGTCTGCAACATCAAAATATTTGTTGTCTGTACTTTTCTTTCTGCACAGTGGTTTTCTTATCTCTCTTTCTCTTGGCCACACTGAAACCACTTCCAATACCACATTGTTAATGGAAGTTCACACACTTATTAGGTTTTTCCTCCACTTCCAACTCCTCATTGTTCTTACCAAAGAAAGAAGATGAACTCTGAGATTACTTAAGACCCCCCCTTTTTTTTCTGGTGGAAGTAAGCAAAGAATGGAAAGATCTCACCTTTCTGTGGCTAAAATAAAACTCCCGTACGTTATTTTTTTAACTGAAGTATTTCATCACATTAAAACATCAATAACAACAAACTAATTAGGTTGACTCTTAAAGAAGGGATTCTAACTTCTAAAAGCTAATTAAGGAACTCTTCTTGCTCAACGTTTAGGTAGAATAAGCTCCCTTTAATCCCAGTTTGTGTCACTTCCTGTCCCTCTCTGAATAGTAAAAAAAACAAGAACGTTCTCACAAATGTGTGCCTGCCAACAAATTAATACTCTGCAAAGAGAAACTCTGCCCCAAATGGCAGCTTCCAATAACTGCTCTGATTCAAATCACAGCTCTTATTTTTTTATCCCCTTCCCCTTCAAGGACAATATTTGCGGATATCATGTTTGCTTTTTATAAAATCTCTGCAGTTTTCGTTTAAGATTCTAAATGACTGGTGATAACATGACACATCTAGGTAGTGGGAAAGCCAACAATCTTCAAAAACACTCCTGAGATGTGTTGGAGCGCCTTCATCCCCTTCCCTCCTCTTTGTCCTTTTCAAAGAAAGAAAGTTCAGTATGAAACCGATTCAAATTATGACTTTACTCAGTGAGATGTTTTACCTTCTGTCAGACAGTTTCATACTGAAGTTTATAGAAAAAGGAAAATAAGAAGAAAGAACTGTGTTAAAATAGAGGGGTTATGGAATGTATTATTCATAAGCATAACGAACACAGGAACCTGTTTTTCCAGAAGAATCGGGTTGATTAAATCATTCACTACACAAGCTTCTAGTTATTTATTTTTGTCTTTAGAATTACAGTACTTAGCTTTTGTAATAAAGTGGACTTGATATCCATATTTGGTATGGCAGTTGGAAGTAGTCAAATGAAGAATTATTTCATTTTATGAAATTTTTAGCAACTAAGGAATATAAACACTATCGGTTAAACATAGCAGACTTGCATTTTTTATTCCTTGGGCTATAGTTTGAAAAAAATCAAATTATTTTATATAACACTGCTTCTTACAGAGTTCCTTTAAGTGAAGTATGAAAGCTGCAGAGTAAGCTTTATTGGCCTATAAATATGTCATTATAGTTGGACTACATTTATATGCTTTGGATTGTTGTTTAAGCCAAGAAAATATGTCTCTACAGGTTGACTTTTTATTGAAACCCTTTGAGGCATACAACAGAATGTATTTTAGGCCAAGGTTATTAAAACAGCATTTTTATTTTTTTGCAGCAGACTCATTGTCAATTATGCTGCCACAAACTGTCTGTGGATGGGCAGTTATGAATGGTTTCATCTCCAAATGTGTCTCTAGAAAAAGAAAGAAAAGATAGAAGTGTCTGAGCTGAAATTGAGAAAAGAGACCAAAGGATGTGGGTGTGGGTACAGCTGAATTTAATGATGGGGGTTCCCTCAATTCAATTTCTGCTTCTAAAGGCCCATCAGACTGAGAAAGTGTGGCTTCCCCTGTCCCTTCTGGTGCTCGGATTTTACTGTACTTTGGGGAATAGACAGCATGAGGGTTGAAAGAGCAGTGGATGGGAGGGCAGGAGACTCTTGGTTCTACCTGCCTTGCAGATCTGTCACTCCCTGGAATAATCAGCAGGTGTTTGTACCTTCAGGTTGCTTGGATGTAAAATCAGTGTAATAGTGTGTACCTTGCTTTATCTCCCTGGATTTTTTAGAAGATCAACTGGGAAATAATTAGCTAGTGTCAATGGCAGCATTTGTGATACTGAAGTCCTAGTGTTTTCACCATGTTACTGAGAGAAGGAGTTTCTATATGATAGGGAGCTGTGTGGTATGATATTAGTTTATTTGTCCCTTTTGAACTTCCTGAGTCAAATGGTCTAGTTTAGGGCAGGGTTTATTCTGATTACTACCTGCCTCAATAGAAGATGGTTATTAAAATCCTTCTGTTTGTTTGTTTGTTTGTTTGTTTTTACAAATAGTTTATTGTCAAGTTGGTTTCCATACAACACCCAGTGCTCATCCCCACAAGTGCCCTCCTTCATGCCCATCACCCCAGTTCCCCCCCACACCCATCAGTCCTCAGTTTGTTCTCAGCATTCAAGAGTCTCTCATGGTTTGCCTCTCTCCCCCTCTCCCACTATTTCCCCCCTTCTTCTCCCCCGCGGTCCTCCATTAAGTTCCTCCTAATCCTCCTGTAAGTGAAAACACATGGTATCTGTCNTATTTCACTCAGCAGAACACCCTCAAGTTCCATCCATGTTGCTACACATGGCCAGATTTCCTTCTTTCTCATTGCCATGTAGTATTCCATTGTATAG